AGACAGGCGCCGTGGCGCACGCTAGACAGGCGCTGTGGTGTACACGAACATGGTCGGCCAGGCCAGAATAATCAGTAGTCACAAATAAGTTACATATTGAATTCGATCCGTTCAGGCCCCCGACGATTTTCCGGAGCTTGGCCCCGTCGGTATTGCCTTCAGGCGTACACGAACTTTGCGGTGTGCGCAGGCGCTGGGGTGCATAGGAGATGGTGAAACAGCGGCTGTGGTGCACGCAGGCGACGTGGTGTGCACAGATCGCGCGAAATACAAAGGCGTCGTGGTGCACGCGGTTGCTATGGTGTACACATTCGCCGTGATGCACACACATACGATTTCTTTAGCAGCCCTGGTGCACAAAGGCATTGTACAGCGCCCGTGCTGTGTGCACAGGCGCCGTGGGCTTGGGCGGCGACGACGACGACGACGACGACGACGTAGGCGGCGCGCATCACGGGGTGCGCGCCGCGGCCCCAGTTACCGTTACCCCCCCCCACGCCCCCCCCCCCCCCGGGTAACATGCGTTGTCCCCCAGACATTAAAAATGGTTCCACTTCAATGTTGGCACGAAGTGTTTGGTCCACACGCAGGGGTGTCCGAAATCCGGCAATGCCCTCACAGCATTGAAGAACGCGTTTTCGGGCAAGTGCCCGAACTATCGAGCGCTTGGATTTTGAACAGCGTCTCAACTTATTTTTGACGAAGCTTGTAGGAGGCCTCCTGAGGGGTGCTGGGGGCCTCTCCTGAGGTGCTGGGGACTTCTTGGACTTTTTTCTTGGTTCGTCCAGAAGCTATTCGGGAACCCCTCTGGGGCCTTCGAGGCCCTCTCTCTCGGGCCGTTTTTTTTTCCGTGCGCGAAGACCGCTCCATCCGCTGCCCCTCAAGGGGGCTACCACCATCGCAACTCCGCTGAGCAGTGGAGAACATGTTTTCCTGCTACCACCCGTTCTGAGGTGCCATGCCGGGAAACCAGTAACCCCAGCGTGCGGTATTATGTGCGGTCTCGTTGCGGCAGCAGCTCGGGCGCGGGCGTTGATATATGAACGTAGTCGATAGTTTCTGGGATCCCCCAAGGGCAGAGGTCGTGTAACATTTAACGAATCAAACGGTGACTGAGGCCAGAGCTCACGCCTTCGCGACAGGAACCTGCCGTGGCCCCAGAAGGTTCTCGGAGCTGCCGAACGGTCCCCAGGACAGGATGTTCGTCACGGGCTATATATGGTGGTCCCAGGACTGAAAACGACTCCCGCGGAGACTGAAATACAGAGTGTTAGCCAGTGTGGACCCCAAACTGTGATTCTTTGTATGCGGCGCAATCTAGGTGATGCAATCAGTGTGGTGCAACCTGGGTGGTGCAATCCATGTGGTGCAATATATGCGGCGCAAAGCAATGCCACGCAATGCCAAGCAATGCAGTGCAAAGCAATGTCAAGTAAATCCAGAGAGAGGGAGGGAGAGAGAGAGAGAGAGAGAGAGACACCGCTGATTACAAAGCATACGAACACAAATGCCGTGGACTCACAGGGCGTCGCAATACCGCTTCACGGCTGCGCGGAAGGCTGTGGCAGAGGTTCAGAGCTGCCGGAGGGCCTCACTCCCAGCGGCCCGCACAGCGTGGGCAAAGGCTAGTTCAATCCAGCGTAACACAAAACAGTGTAATGCAATGCGGCGCAACGCAATGCAAAGCAATGGAACGCATCGCAATTCAATTCAAAGCACTGCAACCCAGCGCTAAGCAACTCGAATCAATGCAAAGCTATGCCAGTCTATGTCAAGCACGCCCTGGGTCCTGGAGCGGAGGCGCGCGGGCGCACACAGTGAGCCACGGAGGTGCTCGGCGGCCTGGGGCGAAGGGAGGCACCCGGAGCGGTGCTGGGTCCACCAGATCATGTAGGACGGGCCAGCCGCCCAGTTGCAAACAGCGCGCCGTGGCCCCGGCGGCAGGTGCGGACCCTCGGGCAGGGGGCGGGGCTGGCCGAGGTTTTGTCCAAGGGTGGTCGCCCCGTCTCACGTCCGTGGGCGGGTGCTCGGTCCCAGGGGGGCTCAGGTCAACGTGGGCGTCGCTGGGGAATGGGGAGTTCGCTCGGCGGGATCCCCGATCCTCCACGCCCGAATATCCGTGGAGGCATGGTTATGGCAGTCTCGGCGGGCGAGTGTAGTCTCACATCCGTGCGGTCGATAGGGTGCTGACGGGGCATAGTTTGCCCACTATACGATCGTGGTACGGGCTGATGGGGTGTAGCTTCCAGGAACGAAACGCCACGTCTGTCTGGGCCCCACGCATCTTTCAAGGCGGTCATGGGCATTGCTTACTCCCGTGCGACCGTGGCACGGGCTGGAACGTGGAGCCATCTACCTCTCCCTGCCCCTCTTCCTAGAGCTCCTGGGCGACAGTCTCTGGCATCACATTCGCTAACGACGCTCGGCGACCGCTTCGAGTGCGCGACGGGTAGCGTAAATCTTGCCTGCCGCTTCTTGGCATGAGCCCCTGAGCGCCTGCACAAGCCTCTGACCTGTATTCGCTATATATATAGATAGATAGATAGATCGATACGTGTGTGTGTGTGTGTGTCAGCGGGGTGCTCGTAAGCTACCGAGGGAGATGAGATGCTTGGATCGATATCCTCCGCAGTTTTAACCTTACTGTTGGAATATCAAGATGGCGAGCGCCTGCCAGCAACATTCGACCAATGCGTGCGCCTTGGCCCCGCGCCAGACCAGTTCGCAATTCGTAGCTAGTGGACGAGATCCGACGCAGCCCCAACTTCGTTTGCATGAGCTTCCACAAAAAGGCACCAGTGGGGGCCAAGACGCCTTCCCCACGGCCTTATCGACGTCCGCATCTTGGTTGATAATCCCCGCCCCTGGTGAACATGGTATACCCCACTCGCTCGACGAGTTGGAATTCCTGCTCGCGCGTCTTCTTGCCGGAGGCTGGCCTGAATCATTTCCTTCCTCTCTCTCCCTCTCCTTCTCTCTCGCTCTCTGTTTCTCTCTGTCTGTCTCTCTCTCTCTCTATTTTTCTGTCTCTCTCTCTTTCTCCCCATCGAGAGCGAGCGCCAGCCTTGCCAATCGTCGGGCAGCGAGTGATTGGTGGCCGAAGCGTTCAGCGGAGAGCTGGGCGAGAGTTAGCCCGCCCGCCTCCTAGCGGTGCTGAAGGCGGGCTACGCCATCCCCCCCTTGTGCATAGCACAGTATACAGACTCCCTCTTCGGAGCAAGTCGAGGGCTTGGGGAGTCCAGGACAATGTTGAGGGGACCCACCAGCTCAAAATCAATGTTTGGATCTTCCCGAGGGTGAGCGGCGCCTGGCGAAAAATGCCCCGTGGGCGCTCCTGTGCGTGCCCGCTCGCACGCGGCAGTCATGGGCGCGTCCCGAGGGCGTTTTCGTGCATGTCCGCTCGCACGCGGTGCACTTTGGCGTGCCCAGGAAGTTCCAAAAGGCCGCAGGAAACCATAGGAGACACCGGGAGGCACCAGGAAACCCCAGGAGGCCCCAGGAGGCCCCAGAAAACACCAGAGGCACCGGGAAACCCTAGGAGGCCCTGGGAGGCACCGGGAAACACCAGGAGGCACCGGGAGGCCCCAGGAGGCACCAGGAGGCTCCAGGAGGCACCAGGAACCCACAGGAGGATACAGGAAACCCCAGGAGACACCAGAAAGCACAGAAAGCACCAGGAAACATCAGGAGACACAAAGATGCACCAGGAGGCGTCAGGAGGCCCCAAGAGGCTCCAGAAGGCGCTCCAGAAGGCACCAGGAGGGCCCAGGAGACACCAAAAAGATCCACGAAACTCCCAGAACATTTCAAGAGGCTGATGCTCCAGGAGGCACCAGGAGGCCCCAGGAAACACCAGGACCCCAGGGAGCCCCAGGCAACCCCATGAAGCCCCAGGAGGCCCCAGGAGGCAAGCACCTGGAGGCACCAGGAGACGCCAGGAGGCTACAGGATCCCCCAGGAGGCACCAACAGGCACCAGGAGGCCCGAGGAAGTCCAGGAGGCACCAGGACGCACCAAGATGTTCTACAGGCATACGCAACCTCCACCGAAAACCCTAAGTGTATATGACTTCCTATGTTTTTTGGGGGGGCGTCCAGGGAGATGGTGATGTAGATGAAAGTGAGAGGGCGACGTGGGGGGAGAAGGGGGATGATGATGATGATGCTGATGCTGATGCTGATGCTGATGATGATGATGATGATGATGATGATGCTGATGTGATGATGATGATGATGATGATGATGATGATGATGATGATGATGATGATGATGATGATGATGATGGTGATGGTGATGATGATGATGATGATGATGATGATGATGATGATGATGATGATGATGATGATGGTGGTGGTGGTGGTGGTGGTGGTGGTGGGGTGGTGCTGGTGGTGGTGGTGGTGCTGGTGGTGGTGGTGTGGTGGTGGTGGTGGTTATGGTGGTGGTGGTGATGATGATGCTGATGTCGATGTTGATGATGATGATGATGATGATGGTGATGATCACGTTGATGATGATGATGATGATGATGGTGGTGATGATGATGAGGAGGAGGAGGAACAGGAGGAGGTAGAGTAGGTGGACGGGGGGTCCGTCGCCATTTTGGCTCAAGTTGTAATTTTCGCCCCGAGGTTGCCGCTTGATTCGCAGCTAAGGGGCTGGCCCGAGGTCCCCAGTGGTTTCTTCTGCGCTACCCACATGGGCAGATCTCGAGCAACGTGAGTTTCTGGCTTTGCTCATCACTCTGCCTGTGGGTGCAGCTACATCGTAGCTGCGAGATGTCTGGCAAGGCAGAGGCGGATCCCGTGAAGATTGGGCTACGGTTGCTGCGGCGGCAGAGCTTGTTCCGACTCGACCCTCCCAAGAAGTGGTGATTTTTCCTCGTGGGCCTCGTGCTAAACGTCCAGCGTCTGGCATTGCTTCACCATTCTCCTCCACCCGCGGCGACACCATTCTCCTTGACTGCTCGACTATGGCGACGACCCCCCCCGTCGACATCAAGAGCTACATCGAGAGCATCAGCTCCTCACTCGCGAGCGACATCGCGGGCATCCAGACTTCGGTCATCAAATCCCTGTCGGACTCTTCGAACCGCATGGTTGCGACGCGCTCGGCTCTTAGTGCGGAAGTGGAGAAGACGCGGGCGCCCATCGAATACACAGGCAAACCGCAGTCTCGCCAGCTGGAGGACGCCACGGCAGAGATCAAACTACTCAAGCGCGAGCTTGTCGCCGCGCAGTCGGGCACCCCGTCTCCTCCTCTGACTATGGCGGGCACGACCTTCGATCGTGCGCACGACCCGTCGATCATCGTCGTGCGTTGCACATCGATAGTAGCGAAGGCCATGGTCATACAGGAGATGCGCTCGCATATGGCACAGTGCAGCGGGGATGGCCAGCAGCGGGAAGTCCAAGGGGGCCGTCCAGCAAGAGGTTCTTGCTCAAGATCAGAGGAGCCACGATCTTCGCCAGCAGGGTGGTCAACCGAGCGCTCGTGCCCATCAAGCCTGATTCTCCTCCCGGCCAACGGAAGAAGTCCCACGCGACCGCGGTGGGCATTTCCAGGGTGGAGTTTTTTTTGCGGGACCCAACAACTCGCCGCGCCAGATCAAGCTCGAGCTGGCCTGCAAGAAAGCGAAAGTTGCCATCGACAACATCCGCCCAGACCGCCGAATCTTCGGCAATCGTGGCAACGGGGACATTTCGTTCCAGTGGAAAGTGCCGCTGGAGATAACGTCGCGTCTTTCCGACCCCCCGCAGATGCGACGAACGCGTCGCAAGCCCGGGCTCGACCCTGAGCGAGCGGCCAGCGCCGCGCAAGCAGCGCTCGCCGATGGCGACGCCGTCGGCGAGGAGTGGTTTCGTCTTTGGGGTGGGCAGATTCGCTCCACCGCGCCGCTCAGGGTTTCAACTTAGAACGCAGCTGCGCCAGCTCATCATAAGGCGCCTCTCCGTATTCAGAAACAGCGTTTCTCAGCTAATCTTGGTCAGCCTGGTTCCGTCGCTGCCAGTCAGGAGGCGCGCGGCATTAAGCGCGGCATCGAATATTTCAAACATCAACATACTTTGCCCGTCCCGTACTCTTCCTCCTTCGTCCCCTCGGTGGAGGCGGGGCTGCTTTTTCCTTGTTGTCCACAGGTCTGGGGCTCGGGGGCGCTTTTTCGGTTCCCCCCCCGCCCCCGCCGTTTCCTCGGAAGTTTTGGTTCTTGGTTGAGTTCTACGCGCCAGAATCCGTTCCCAATATGGTCATTTGATGGATTCCTAATTTGAGCGTCAAAAGTCGCAATCTTATCGCGCAGGAGGGGGCGCCTCGTTTCTCAGGGGATCCGAGCCGAGACTTTCACCAGCAGAGAGCGTCCGCACGGGCGGATGGTTCTCATAGCTGGTGACTCCAATTGCGGCCAGATTCCCGCTCACCCTTTTGTTACAGATCCTGGCGCTGTCGCTCCTGGCCCCCCCGCCCCCCCCCCCCCCCCATGTGAATGGCGAATTGCGCCGCGACCCCCGGTGGACATCAGCTCGAAGCCCCCGCCCATTACCACCTTGACACCCTGGGGCCAGGATGGACTCGAAACATGTTTCGCTTTCTCGTTCTCTCTTCCTCTTCCTATTTTGTGTGTAATTATCCCTCTCTCTCTCTCTCTCTCTCTCTCTCTCTCTCTCTTCTCTCTCTCTCTCTCTTTCCCTCTCCCTCTCCCTCTCCCTCTCCCTCTCCCTCTCCCTCTCCCTCTCCCTCTCCTTCTCTCTCTCTCTCTCTCTCTTTTTCTCTCTCTCTCTCTCTCTCTTTCACTCTTTCTCTCTCTTTTTCTCTTTTTGTTTTTTGTTTATTTGTTTTTCTCTCTCTCTCTCTCTCTCTCTCTCTCTGTTATATATATATATCTCTCTCTCTCTCTCTCTCTCTCTCTCTCTCTCTCTCTCTCCCTCTACAGATTTACAGGTTTAGATCGGGTCGCCATCTGGCCACGCTGGCCCGCCGTGTCTCCGCGGACGCCGCTCGCTGACCGCGCATCTTTTTTTTTTTGGCCTCCGCATCGGCGGCCGCAGGTCGGCCGCGCGCCGCGCGCCGCGCGCCGCGCGCCCGGCCCGCGGGCCCCCGCGGCGCCCCGGCGCGTCTCCCAAGAGAGGTGGGCGAGATGGAACGCAGGGTGCCCCCGTCTAGGGCCGGGTCTTTCACCGCCCTTCGCAGGGCCCCCCGCGGCAAGATGAGTGCTCGCAGCCCGCGCCGATCCACCCTCCCACGTGCACCCCAAGATGACGGCGCCAGCCCTCAAAGAAAGCGAGTGGCTGGCCCCCCCATCCCAAGGGGGGTGCGCGGGGGTTGGCCCCGCTCGCGCGGCCAGCAAAAAGAGTGGAGAGCATGACAAACAACAAGAAGGCGAACAAGGACAATAGAGTGCAAAAGCAAACAACAAAAACGAGGGCAAAGCAGATGCATCTGATAGGACAAGTGGCATAGACCCAGTACACTGCGCCCTGTGAGCGGCACAAGATATCCAAGAACGACGACAGTATCACGACTTTGAAGCAGGATCAAGCATAACACAAGGTGGAAGCGCAGTAACAAAAGAAAGCGGAATGTGAATCAGCCCAAACACTGCAGGGCACAGCATAAGTTTTGAAGAGGGCCAACTACAGAGAGGGGCAGATGGAAGAAGAAGAAGAAGAAAGGCACGAACGAAGGGAGGGGCAGGGGCAGCGGGAAAGGGGGAAGGGAGGGGGAGGGGCGCAAGGGGGAGGAGGGACAGGGCAGAGAAAGCGGGTTCGGCCTTGGGAATAGGGTTCCACTCAGGAGTTGCCCTTGCGGTCGGCAGGACCGACGGGGGGCGCGCCGTCAGACCGGGGGGGGGAATGTAGCACAGCTGGTAAACCATATTACTAGAGAGAGCACGGCACACCACGGCAAACACAACAGCACGACGCGGCACGGCCACGCAGTCAGAAACGGCACGTCATTTTCAAAAGCACGCACAAATGAGATCGACAATCTTCCATTCAAGTGAGGCATGGAAAAAGAGAGCAACAGAGAAGAGAGATGATGATGGAAAGGGGCAGCAGGGGTGCACTATGTTGTTTCCTGGCCGTCATGCCTTTTGCTGCGTCGCCGTCGTGCTCGCGGGCGAATCCGATATATGGCCCAGCTACTGCAGTGCGCGTGGGGGGGGGGGGCACGACGGCGCCGGCGATTGCCGGCCCCCCCCTGCCCGAGCCCCCTACAGGGCCACCAGCAGCGCCTTAGAACTGGCTCGAACCGGTGATGGCCACGAGCATTGCAGCGGCAACGAAGCGAACGCGCTCGCGGCGCTCCACCGGCGGCCGGCTGCGGTGGAAGAGAAACTGTGAGACTTGGGCGCAACGGGAGGAGGGGGGCAGAGGGAGCCGAGACCAGAGGGAGGCCCGGTGAGTGGCTGTCGCGGGGCACGCGAAAAGGGCGTGCCAGATGTCCACGCCCAGCGCGCCGCAGCCGCCGCAACGGGGCAGGGTGGCGACGCAAAGCGGAGCTTCCAAGACCTGGAGCGGCCAGCAGCCCGACATGCGAACAACCGTCCACAAGCGAAAGTGGAGCCACGAGGCAGGCCCAAGGGCAAGGTCCAGCATGTTCCACTGCAGCCCAGGCGACCCTGCATGCCAAGCCGAAAAAGGCAATCGAAAGACAGGCAAGGCAACGGCAGTCGCCCGTTGGAACGCGGCAAGATCAAGTTTGGAAAGGGCTGGGCGCGCGACGTAGAACTTGCAATTGCGAAGGAGTGGGCGGCGGGCCGCGGGATCGGCGCCTCCGTCAAAGCCCGGACGGCGCTCGCCCAGGTGGAGCAAGATGTGGCCGAGGCCAGCCTAAGCATGCTGGCGCCCGGGTGCGTTTCTGGCAGTAAGAAGAGCCTCGCCCGAGCCAAGATGGCGCGCTCCACCATCTTGGTACCCAGACGCAAATGCCACCCGCACTGTGCAATGACAACCTCGCCTGGCAGCGCTGGACCTATGGCGCAGCCGAGAAGGCGACGGGCCCAGGGCGCCTGCAAAGAGTCGAGCGAGTAGCGGGCGCGCGGAGCAAGGAAGAGAAAAGGGGACGGGCATAGCAACGCGGAGTCCACGCGCAAGGGCACCTGGGCACACAAGACTGGGAGACCAGAGCCGGCCGTCTCCCCAGCGAAGAATAATGATTCAAACAAATCATTGCCTCTAGCCAGCGTCGCCCGAAGGAGTGGGCCAAAAGTGAGACGGGCATCAAAGAGAACCCCCGAGAGAAGCTTTGTGTCCACCACTGGGCATCCGACATCACCAGCGGGGGGGCTGTTTAGGATTGCCACGGCAGCCGTCTTCCCGGAGGAGTAATTAAACTGGGAGCGGGTGCGTCTCGCATGCCGCGAGCAAGCTGGCCACGGCCCCCGTGACACAATGGCCCGGAGAGTCTGGGGAGGACACGGCAACCGCGAGTCGTCGACGAATTGCAAGGGGGGAAGGAGGCCCGCGCCCAGACGGCCAAGCAAGTAGGCCCGATCGGCCTCGGAGGTGACCTGCGAAGCCCCGAAGGCGATCGCCTGCTTGGCCCTCGGGAAAGGCGCCTGCTCGGCCGCAGCTGCCGACGCCACCTCGACAGCTACTGCCTCGAGGTCGCCCCCTACAGCCGGCGGCGCGGGCATCCCCGACTCGCGGGCGTCAGAAACCTGGAGCCCCATGCAGGGCCGGCGGAGGTGGGGATCCACCCAAGCCGCGCGGCTCCCCGGGAGCACGCGGCACACCTCCTCAGCCAACCACTTGAGCTGCGCATTAGAAAACGCCTACGCTAAACTTGCGGCCCTGCGCCGCACCACCCCCGAGCGAGAACAAAGACGACACGTGGCCGCTCAACGCAATAAACCGGCAATCTGACGACATAAAATCATCGAGGAGAAGCCAGTCGTCATCGCGCACCCCAGCCTCATAGGCATTGAGTAGCATGGCAAGGTGGGGCGCGACGTCGAAAGCCCATTGAAGATCAGTGACCGCCCAATAAGTGGGGACGCCTTGGGCACACCGGAGCTGGGCATGGATGAGGAGGGCGAGGAGGGGAGAAATGGGGTCTCCAACCCTTCCCTGCTGCGCGAGATTGAAATCGGGCGAAGACACTGCGTGGACCGAACGACCCAGGGGCCCGACTTGTGGAGGGGGGTCACCTGGCGGGCAGACCACAAAGTGCTGGCGATGGCGCAATGTCTGGACAGATTGGCCAGGGCCCTCGTGACCCGTTGGCCCTCCGGGACGGCAGAGCGGACCGCCGCATAGCAGCCGCGGAGCGCCGACGATGTAGTCTTGAAGTTGTCCACTACGGCGTCGACCTCCGAAGCCGAGTAGAGGCGCGGAGCGGGTTGGCCGGAGCTC